CTCCTCCAGAAGGAAAAAATCAATATATGGTATATTCTCTTGAACATCCACAATCTTCTTATTGTCTTCCTCCTTTGGCATAGCCATAAGTTTATCAAACTTGTCCTCTTTTGGCTTTTCTTTTTGTTTTGCCAAATCTTCAATGAACATAGACTCATCTCATTTAATACTCTCTAACTTCTCCTAAAGCACTAGTTCTTTTAAATTAAGATTGAATTTGGATGCCTCATCCTTGGGCTTATAATCATCTTTGGTTAACTCTTTATTGACAGCAGCATAGTCATCATTATGACTGAAAATTAAAGTGCTCTCAATAGCCACAAAATCAGTAGCAACATAGCCATCGTTATGAATGAAAGTTTGAGTGCTCTCAACTTTTTTCTCTCAATTTCTTGTTTCGGGCTCATTTAGTCCTCATAAACTTGCTTAGGTGACAATGGAACAAGTGTTACTTTTCGTCCCCTCATTTTAAATGAATATCTATTGCTAAACTCATCATGTGTCACTTTTCTAACAACTTGCCAAGGTTTTCCTAGCAAAATATGACCCACTCTCATTGGCATAACATCACACAAAACCTCATTCTTGTATCTCCCAATAGAAAAAGACATTATCACTTGTTTGTTCACCTCGACTTCTCCACACTCATTTACCCATTACAATGTAGATGGTCGAGGATGTTCAATTATGGGCAAACTCGAATTTTTCAACTAACTCAAGACTAGCAACATTCACACAACCACCCCCATTTATTATCAAACGATAGACCTAATTATTGATGACATGACATTAGGTATGAAAAATATTATCTCTTCATACCTCCTCTTCACTTTTCACTTACATGCTTAAAGCGTGCATAATTACTAATGACTTACCACAAACATCATTATCAACAATCACTTCACCCTCTCCCTTAGGATTTTTATCTTTTGATATGTTTAAAACCTGCACAAAACTCATAAGTAATAAAAATTCCTCACATGTTTCATTCAAATTGATGCCACTCAATGCTCGTGTTTGCTTTCTTTTAGGTTTTTTCTTTAATACGTTCACACTCTCCAGCCTTTTACCACTCTAACTCACTCCTTTGGTTCTTCTACAAACTAATCCAAACAAACCACACAAGAACTAACCAATTGCAAGTGATTCAACAACTTCACTTACCAAGGATCGGATTTTGGATAGATTTGGAATAAGGAATTGACAAACCAATTCAAATAAGAATTTTAAGTTTTCAAACACTAAAAATGGTACTAAAATTGACTTGATTTGAATTTAAACAAGACAATAACAAATGAGACACAACAAGACAAAACAAATCAGACTTATTTTTATGTTTTTTTTTTTTTTTGAATTGGAAATGAAACTACAAAGATATGAAATAGAATAAAAGATAATGAAAAAATCGGATTTATATTGAAAAATGAAGTTAACTACAAATCAAACTTTTTCCCATTTTTTTCTCTCTGTTTTTTTTTATATATAAGACTTAATTTATCAAGCAAAGGAACATAAGACTCAAACTAGGAAAGATATGGCAGAATAACAAGGAAGACGTAATAAAGAAAACAAGATAGACACGAAATAAAAGACGTAAGGACTATGGATAACCAACCCGACTTTGCACAACCTAGGCTTTGATACCAACTGATGTGAACCCCATGTATAAAGACTACGAGACCCAAACACCGTTGTTGTTATACAATCCCAAGAACGTGTCGCAATCAAGTTATAATAAGTGGAACCCAAACCGTTGCCTATAAGGAGGTAAGAACCAAAGCGTATGATGCAATGGAGTGAAGAACACCACACCTTATGGAGGATAATAGGTTCGCAGATGCCACAAGTGGTTATAATCCTTGATAAGTTAGATTTAGTTCTCAAAAGAACAAAGAAAGAAAATCCTCTCAAGATTATTTTGTAAGTTTTCGTAGATCTAAACTTGCCTTTAAATAGGTTAACACGCCACTCCTAACCCTTAAAGGACTCTACTTTTCCTTGCCACCTACGGAGAATAGAAATAGAATCTAATGATCCTAAAAACATATGCAAATAATAGGGTTTAAAACATAGAGTCCAAATCTGACTTAATTAATTAGTTATAATTATAATTAAGTTAGATCTAATAAAATAGGTCCCATATAATTTAAGGAATCTAATTTTAGATTTAGATCAGATTGACAAGTCTTGGATCCTCCTCTTCTCTTAAGATGGTGCCATAATGCTCCCTTGGGCCCTTGAAAATGCATTCTGCCTAACACTCTTGAATCAACCCATGGAGAGCTTCTTTAAGCTTCTTAGCCCTAGCCCACATCATTGGACCATTCTTTAATGTGTAATGGATCAAATTTTAGACTTGCAAACTTGCCATCTTGGAGCTCCCTCGGAGATGCCACCTTGTTGGCCCATTTGGCTACTTAGTTTCCATCAATATAGCCTTGACTTTCTTTATTCTCATCATTACCATTGTCACTAATGACAATAAGGGTCCTCCTACATTGTCATTCTCCTATCTCATGGTGAAAAATATATTGTTCCTCTCATTATTGGGAGTGTCCCTTGTTAGCGTATATATTTGGAATTAGCCCCCCTCTCCATTCCCTTTGTCTTAATAGCAAACACTCTATTTATAAGTGATCCATCTATAGGAGGACCCTAATGGGTACTTTAGGGTAAACCAAGTCCATAATTATAGCAAAATATTATAATACTTCCTTAAAGATTAGGGAGAGACCCATCACTACATGTTATTCTAGAAAAATCAGAATAATTATAAGAATAGATATTCACAGGTGAGAACAACCTAGGGTTATCCTTTAATATAGATATTTTAAACTCCCTTGTTAGACACATGACATGAATGGTATGGATAGGGTTTTATGATTTTAATAGAATTTTGATGAAATCTATCAAGTTACCTTATTGTTCTTTCATAGCGATTTGGAGGATCGCTTTATAGCAATTGGGAGCTAAGTTTATTCACTAAAATGACCATAATAAAGTATATATGGCCATTATTCTTGAGATGAGGTAGCGCTTCCATTGTGAATGAGGGCATTATAATCATACTTAAAACAAGCCCTATTTCTATCATTATATCTATTATCACTCAAATATAAGACTATACTTTAACATACAAAGGGCTTATGTATTTCTATAAAATAATGAGGTATGTTATGGGTAACCATATAGCATTAATCCATTTTTAGTGATAATAGATATCCTTGGACTATTTATATGGCTAGCAATGGGAAATCCTCGCTCATGGCTAAGTAAATGGAAGGATTAACATATACATCAAGTCTATATCAAGACCAATACTACTTGGTTCCATTTGCTTGCCCACTAGTAAAAGGTTATCAATTACCTCCATCTTTATCTCTCCCTCTCCCCCTATAAAACTTACAAAATTGGTCCACTATGAAGATATTTCTATCTCTCCCACTTTCCACCTATTCGTTAGGGTTATATCAAGGTATTGTCATAAAATAGTTAGGCCCTCTATAAAATCACTTTAAGTTATCTTATTAATAAATATTATAATATAGTATTATATTATATGTTAATAATCATAATATATGATTAATATATTTAGATATCTTCTGTGATTTAATATTATCAATATTATACAATATCCTAAAAATTCAATACCTATAGTTATTTGTTGCATGAAGGAGAGAGAATAACTTTGATAAGTCCCTCGTATACTAGTTAATCCTGGGAGATGTTTATTAATTGATGTCAAATTTACAATTGTAGATGTCAATCAAGGAGGAGTATCATTTTCGAAGTTACCCTCTCATTAATATAATATTGATCGTGAAGGTAGAGTAATATTTGGAGATTATGGAGTCATATCAAGAGAGGAGGGAGTGGATATCGCTTACCTTCAAGTAATATAATAGGTGAAGATATTATAAGATCAATTTTCGCACATATAGGGAAATAGTAAACTATTGTATACAAAGACTCATTAAATAATTTATAAAATGAGCAAAGGAGGCTTCCTTTCCACTACAAAGGCTTTTGAAATAATAGTCCCTTGGGAATAACTAAATAGTCTCCATATCTCTAATATATACCAAGAGATGTTAGGCAATCTTTAATGGAGGTATCTTTATAGCTCCATTAAATAATACATCATCAATTAATAACCACTTAATAATTAATATTAGTTTATTCTCATTATGCTTATTCTCAAACTCTATCAAACTGATACGTGTTATCCAATTGACTCATAGGTGCTATTTGATTAGGTATGCGACCATTCCTCTAACTATTAATTGGAGGGGAATAACAATAGAATTGAGTTATCATAGTTGACTTGGAAACTAGGATACCTCCTCCATCAGTTTGGGACATTAGTCATAATTAGCCTTTAATTATTCACCATACTTGTTCATTCATATAGATTGAAAGGTATTACAATCGGATTATCAGGGCTATCTTTATCCACAAATAAGCGAATACCAAAGGTATTGGTTCTAACTCATGCTTTACATGATGCAATAGGTATTAAAGGGGCCTCTTGTTATGGAGGCCATCTTGCTAGGATTCGTTTATTTCCCTTAGATATGGAATACAATTCTTTCTCCCTAAAGCATACTATAGTTAACCAATAATATTTAACCTATAGTTGGGTAAGGAGGGAGAGAGTATGAATAATAGATTTTAGAGATGACCCATTATGGGAGAGGCAGGGAAAGAGGGTACACACACTTAGCATTACACCACGTTGATGGGAGAGAAGACTTGTAAGCATTTGGAAATAATCCAAATCTATTATAATTATTTTGAGGAGTATGGATTGGTCACAATAGAGCATGATGGATGCTCGAGTGAATTGATGGGATACTACTTAATTTTCATCCTCTCTCTCCCACCTAATGTTATTCTTTTAGAGATAAATTAATGATATTATTTTGATTTACAACATGCATAGGGGCCTACGAGCATGTGCACCTATGTAGCCATCGTAGATTGTAGATTGTAATTTTAACGACTATGTCCACCATCTCTCTCCTCCTCACTTGGCTTCCCTCTCTCGATCTCTAAAAGAATGACATCAACGAGCTTTGGAAAGATGAGGAATAACTCAATTCTCTTTACTCATGTGAATGACTCAAATTTAGGCGAGAGTGAGTAGGAAAGATAGGGGATCCGAAGAGGGAAGTGCATGGAAAAATAGATAATATTGGTAGAGAATCCTTTCTTGGTATTTTAAATAAGATGTTGTAAATTCCAAATAGCCATAGATGTGGAGGATCACCATCACATGATTTATTAGCTACAAATTACTTCATTAATATATATCACATTCATGCAAAGAGGTTTATCCAAAGTAACATGCTAAGATTGGTCTATAAGTTGATAAGCAAATATTATAACTATAAACCATCTTAACATGAAAATATTAATACTTTGCCTATGAACATGAGAGTTTATACTTTGCCCATGTTCTAGACCCCAAAATTTGGGTAACCCACAGATATTATATTTTAAACCAAGTCATACCACGAATGTTATCACAATAATTTTCATGGGCCATCACATTAATCTAGAATGTAAACCCCTCCCTCCCTAATTCAATCGTTTGAAATAGAATTGGTCAATTTATCCCTCTCGTCCCCCTATATAAGCCAATTCATTTCTTCTCTCCATATGAATTTAAAACTGAAATTTGGGTTAAAAATCAATGAGGGCGCATGATAGTTAGAAATATATTAAATTGATATTGCTATAAGTATTATAAGACACAATAAACTAATCAATTAATATTATAATATATTGGATTATCCCTATAGTTAAATTGCTTATGTAAGGAGATAATTCAGCAATCTTAGGCCTATGTGCAATAATAGAATCACTCTACTAGAATAATATTCTATCGATCATCATATTAAATAGATTTGCAGTTATAAATAATAAGACGTTTAGCTTATTATGACCAGAATTGCATCATGATCTAAATATTCCCATAAAATGGATCTACCTTGGTCTAGGAATTTATTGATAATCTTTTAGAAGAGATATAAGGAAAGGGCGCCTAACCGATAGAAGCGTTAATTAATTAAATGTTAGGGGCTAATCATAAGTGATATTTGATACTATAAGAGAATGGGAGGGATACTCTTATTGACTTATAGGTAAGTATTATAATATATTACTCTTTCCTAGATTCTCTCTCATAATAACTAAAGAACAATTCACCCATGATTGAAATGTATAATATCATTGGTTTTCCAATTGGTAAGGTACTCTTATTGAATATATTTCTAACCATATTGATATTATTGGTATTCCAAGATATCACCTTTTGAATGGGTGAATGACTTGGCTTAGGATTCAAATTGGTTCACCGATTATTTGTAGCTTATTACAAATAATACTCCCTAATACTTGCTTTCATAGAGCCTTCCATGTACGAGGGATATCATTAAACGATTTAGATAGTGGGAATAAGACTTTTGTTCTAATAAGTTACGAGTCAATAAAGGGATTATTAATCAATGTCAAACTTAGTAAAAAATATCCGATGTTTTAATTATTAGAATTCCCATTTTGGAACTTGTATCATTAGGAGTATTAAAGAAATTAGGAAACAATTTCCCATTTTATCATTTTAATTATTGTCTCTTGGACCTTTCCCCCTCTTTGGAAAGATAAGTCCAAATGTATCACATGTTTTGGAACTTTCTCCATTCTCTAATATGACATTCTTATGTTCCATTAAATCTACTTTATCGAAAAGTAGGACTTAGCATCAATAGTTTATTAACTATTAGGATAATTTAGAATAACGACAAAACTAGATTTGAATACAAACTGACTTAAATTCATTGCAAAAGAAAAAGCTTAATTTCCCCTATAATATCCATCATAATGCCTTGATGTATAGACCAAAATGGTATAAGGGATTGCACATTTAATTGACAATGCTATGACTATTCTTAATATATTTCTCTCAATATTAGGTCTATTTCTATTTTAGCTATTTCTTGACAATGCTATGACTTGGGACATTTAATGATATCATTTATAGGCATTAGATTATTAAACCTATTTGAACGGGCTTATGTGTGTGAACCATATCCAAAATAGCTAAGCCAATTCCCAGTCAACCACTTGAAGGAGAGATGGTCATTTGATATTAAAACAAGTTTAAGTTTAATATTATCAAGAAAGAGCTACTCTCCCTGTTACTAATAGGATTATAGCCAAAAATTACATGTTAAGAAATAGTAAATCCTCTCTCATGAGCCTAGTGAATAATCAAATGCTTACAAGTCTTCGTTTGAGCTATTGATCCTTTTTTCGAGGGTATCTCTAATAATTGATTAAAAATATCCCATAAACCTATAAGATGGGAAGTTTTCCCCTCTACATTAAACTATGTCTTACCATCTCTTCCCCATTAAAGGGTTATTTTTAACCTTTCAGTAAATATAGCCTCAAATCAACGAAGAGGAGAGAGGTTATATAATGAGATCATGAGTAATAATGATACGTTAGGGTATTGAATAATAGTATGATAGGGATTATCTCTCTCCCTCCTTACCCAACTATAACTTCATGGAACCATATTGATTATAATTAGTATATTAAATGGTCGTAATATTTGTTATTCATTTATTAATAAATTGCATGCTTGATTACCAAGTGAATCAATATGATCTTAGATAATTTTAAATTACTATAATACTATTCAAATACAATAAGATATTAACTAAATTTATCATAACTATTAGTACCAAGCATCTCCCTCTCCAAGATCTAAAATCTATTATATCGAGCTACTCTCCTTGTTACTTATAAACCAATCCAAAAGGAGGAATTTAGAAAGGGGAGATCTTCATTTTTTATTACAAAGTCAATGCTCATTCTTGACAATGCTATGACTTGGGGCATTTAACTATAATAGAGAAAGACAAGTGAGACATCAACAAGTTATTTAATCTAAGGAGAGAGAGATATTAATTGAAAGATTCCCTATTTTTGTGAAGATTATCAACAATAATACACAAGGATTGGTATTACTCCTCTTGTGGGATATCATTTGATCCTATAGCATATTTTGGAACTTGACCGTCCTTTAAATATTTATGATGAATAGCCACCCTTGTTCCAACAGTTGAGTTCAATTTAATATATTCTGGTTAGAAATATATTAAATTGATATTGCTACAAGTATTATAGGACATAATAAATTGATCAGTTAATATTATAATATATTGGATTATCCTATAGTTAAATTGCTTATATAAGGAGATAATTTAGCAATCTTAGGCCTATGTGCAATAAGAGAATTGATTCAACTCTTCTAAAAGATTATCAATAAATTCCTAGACCAAGGTAGTGTTATTAATGAGCTAAAATCGATATCTATAGGTTCACCTACTTTGATCGATGACATATTATTTAGACTATCTCTAAAACATCCACCTCCTCCCTCCCCCATATATGAAAATATTGGCCTAAGAGAGGTAGGTGGATGACTAAGATAGGACATGTCATTTCTTGTATGCTAAAGGAGTTATCACATTGCACTTCGATGAATGTTTGCTCAAGAAATCTATGGCCATAGGAGTACACCAATAGATATTGTTTTGGCCATCGATCAAAAGATAATTGTAACTAATCATAGGCCATATTCATCGATTGATGAACATATATATCATTTGGAGGCATTTTAATATCGAAAATTCTTCCCTCCTTTATCCATTATCTTTCCCTAATAGTTCAATTGCTTAGACCTCTCTATCTCATGAACACCCTATTTGTTTTTCTCTATCCTTGGGTAACATGCATTGGAATGGGCTAGGGTTAAAATAACTTAGGCAGTACCATACTTAGTAGGATTCTTGCTAATTCTTCCTCTAATTTAGCAAGAATCTCGCTGAGTGAGTGGAAATATCTTGGAAGAAGTGACATCATTGAAATAAATATACCTTTTGCTCTAGCATGGTCAATCTTTGCAATTCTCCTTGACCCAATTTAGTCCGCATATACATTAGAGGATTCACATATTATATTGATTGTTATAATAATATATTCGGCTTAGCTTAGATAAGTTCCCCCTTCAATGAATCCATTCTCCTCAAGAATTTATCTAAAATGATTCTCAATTCATGGAGAATGTGAATTTGAAAGATTGGGAGATGATGTCGTATAAATTGGTTAATAGTCAAGATCATCTTGACTTATTTAGTGTCTTATTCACCAATATTTCTTTAGTTGAAAAGGAGAAAAAGTTACTAATTAATAAATACCTTATACATAGAGATGTATATGGGCCAATGTTCATCCAAGCAAGAGGAGAACATGCTTGTCACATAACCTTTAATGATAGTGGATCATGTTTTGGTTATAAGACATGAGTCCAAATCATTAGATAGACCTTGTCAATTAATCCATTGTCCCAAATGACTCTCTCCCTCACAAGTTAAATTGATCAAGACATAGTGAGGGAGATACCTATTCATGATTATATTTATAGTTTATCAATATTACTTTGGATAGCTAACTCGTTCTAAGCTTATTATTGAGGAGGTAGGGAGAGAGGGAGATACCTATTCATGATTTTCTCTCCCTCACAAGTTAATTGATCAAGCTATCCTTATCATCGATTGACTACTTAACACATGCGAGATAATAAACATAACATATAAGAATTAATAGACAACACACGTATGGCAACCTTATATGAACACATGGCTGGTTCTTTTATTTCACATAGATTGGAGCCTTGAAAAGCTTGTATCATAAGACTTGCTTGGCTAAGGTACATGTTTAGGGTTAATTATATTTAACAACATTAGAGATCTCCCAATATTGATCAAAAGATACAACTAACTCAATCGAACGTAGTGAAATAATAGAAGATATTAACGACTTCGTAAATATACTATGTAATATTATTAATCTTAGAGAGCATCGACCTTCCCCTTAATTTGTCAAATAAATCATAAATCTAGATACTTGGATATTTGTTCTCAATTGTCAACCAAACTATGTCCCCAATATTGGCCTATCAACTTATTTCTCTCCACGTAGTTATCTCCCTAATTCTTACAATTAGAAGAGAGGGATGGAGAGACCAAAGTTTGTCAACCATTGGTCTATCATCATCCTAAACTAGGAATAAAGCCTATGCAAATGTGTTTCATTAGTATGCCATGTATCAATGTGATTGAAGCATGGGTAAATGGTATGGATAAGTTGACTTAGTTTTATGATGGTAATCCTTTGCATTGAATTTGTCCGACTTAGCTTTCATATAGCAAAGTGTATGGAGTCATAGGAAGTCTTATGATAAACCCAATATACGACCATTCCATTAACCTTTGATAGGTTTATAAGATTATCAACTATTATTAAAACAATATTAATTTCTCTACAATATTAATCATTATATATATGATCTTGGATAATATTAAATTACTATAATATTATTCAAATATAATAAGATATTAACTAAATTTATCATAACTATTAACCAATATATGATAAATTGGTGAAGTATGTTAGGAACATTGGTCAATTTAAACCAATATTAAATAGGAGTATCAAACTTATTGGCCCATTAACAGTTATGATAAATTATCCTTGTTCCAATATTCATATATTCTAATTAGGCTTTGAGGAATGAGGGAGATAACCAGGTGGAGAGAAATAAGTTGATAGGCCAATATTCATCTCCTTGGTTATCTAATTCTATATAATGTTGGCATATGATCAAAACTCATCAGCGTTGACCATGTCTTAGGGGTGATTATGACTAAACAACATCATTTAGGCCCTCAAAATTAGCTTTTATTGTCTTTCAGGATGATGCGGACCAATTATGTTATAATGTTGCAATAGAAAACTTGGTGAGATATCCAAAGTAACATGATTATAAATCGGGGCTTTAAGAAATAAACACTCCTTACTGCAACCTTTTATAATAATCAATTTATAGCTAGATAAATCATATAAAATAAGAACTATTATTTTTATTAAAGGGAGACCAACTGTTAACAGAGTGAGTTAGGGTCGGTGCATATCCAATGAACTGTGGGAGTTAAATTGCTTAGAATCAACAAATATACAATTAAACTACCCTAATTCACCTATGACATCTTACTTGCAAAAGAGGGACAGAAACTTATGGTAATGGCCCCAAAGTGGATATATCTTAGGGGAAATATTATATCGATTCTAAGCAAGGTTAATAGCCCCCTTCATTCTATCATCCTAATTTAATAGGAGGTCCCTATTTCATAACGTGTTAAGAATAGGTAATTTAGGATTATTTTCCAAATATAACCCATATTCAATTCTCACATTAATGGATATAGGACTAAACTGAACTCTTACCAATATAGTCGATGGAATATCTTCAGTATTGGATTACTCATTGGGCATAATACTTCTATATAGTTCACATTATCCAAATAGATATTCTAGGGAGCAATATTAATGGGCCTTAAATCTATAATGTACCATGAGAAAGTTTTCCCTTCTAACAATAATAATCCTTATAATATTATACCATTGATCTAGTTATGATGAGGATCCGTTGTCACCCTTGAGTTATTAATATATCTCTATCTCACCTTTTAATATATTAATTCCCCTTAGTATAAATACTCTATTGGTGTGTTACCATGACTTGTTTATCTCTATAATCAAGTGGTAAGGAGAATTACTAAAGGATTACCACATAGTGTTTGATAATTGAATTGGGACAAGGCTCAATGTTGTGGTAACATATTAATTTATGTTCGGTATTGAGGGAGAAAAATAACATAATTGTTCCCTTTTTGAGGGAGTATTATATAGGAGAATAATTTTCATGGGATAATTCTTCATGTTTAGGGGAGTATCACCATAACTAGGTGAAGATAATATATGAGAGCCGATTACCCAAATGGATAGCCGAATACTATAAGATTATGATAGACATGTACTATTAGTCTATTAATATATTATAGGTTACCCAAACTCATGAACTATCCTCTTTATATGCATGGACTCGGTAAAGGATTATACAGCCTATAATATGGATAGATTTACCAAGTGTTGCAATTTGTCACAATCTTAGATTATTACCAATTTTACAATAATATTTTGTAATATTCCCATAATTAAGGAGTGCAATTATATATTAAATAATTTTTCCATATTGATTTCAAATTAATATAGGGAGACATAAGAGATAAACACTAATAGGTATCTTTCGAGCCAATTCACACTGAAACTCCATTTATTAATACTCACTTGGACATTAGATGGGAGAGTTTCCTTCATGTTTACTTGATATAACACATTATATTCGTATACCAATCAGTTCTCTATTAGGAACAGTGAGTAGGTATCCTTTATTCATGGAGTTCCATCAAGTATGCCTATATTTTGTATCAAGGGCCTTTATATGGGATAATGTGTTATATCCATCAGTAAGGGCTACCTAGTTTATTAGCTATAGGATTGGTCTAACTTGAGGAGAATAATTCCACCTAGGAAGATATGGTTTAACCTAACCATATAGGGACCCTCTCGGTGAGTAGGCCAAGGCCTTATAAAAGTTCTCTTGAGGACAACCTATTATAAATACTTTATAATTCTAATTATATTGACTTTTAATTATAATTGATTAAGGAGATATTACCCTTTCTCATGACCTCTCCCTTACTTACCCTCCCAATTTAAACACCGCCCAATAACCACTTATGTCCACCTAGTTCTCCAATATACTAGAATTTACTCTAGTTTAATTTCCCATAACTAAATGGGAGATTGTCCCACTATGGTATGTTAATATTACCATGATATTTTTATATGGGCTCTCGGGCCACAAAGGGAAAGGAAGGTTTATTGAAAAGAGTTAAGATATTTAGTAGTAATACTCTACCCATTTTTATAATATGAACGATTTTAATTGACAAATACTAAACAAAGGTTAAAAATTAGGAAGGATATAGCCTCCTATAAGGTCATGGCTAGTAATCCACTCTGAATATTTGTAATACTATAATTTTGTTAAATAGTGAGCTGATTAGTCTCAATTAATAGGTTGTCCCTGTAATACCCATTCAAATTATAACACTCTCAATATTGAATATACTCAGAGTTATGGCCATACTATTGTGGGGGAAAGTATATCTCCTCTCGTGGAGATAATAGTATTATGGGAACATCCTAGTATATTGAATCCTAAGGTATTATATCCCGAATATTAATTATTTTAATCTATGCACATATCAAGTGTACTTTTAATATTGCTAGAGGACAATTATACCCTTAGTGAGCGATAATTTGCAAGAGTATGGCATATCGTAGTTGTGAATATATACAAAGGGTTAAATTGTAATGAGACCTAATAAATATTGATGGCCTAGACTGTGTACACGGTACCAACCTATCATTAGGAGATATGGCATAATCGAGAGTTGACTCACAAGGTTCAATCATATGGTAACTATAACTACTATTATAACCTGATATAAGCCTAGATAATGAGTAGGAGAATGGAAGGTGAATTGGAATACTCCCCTATATTAGGTTAAACATGAATATAATTAAGGGAGTTATTGTTTATAACCTAATACGAATATAGTATTGGTGACCATAATAGTGTTATCCTATAAATCTTACCCGCATGATTTATATTAGATTAAACCTTAATATAAGGGCCTGAATTTGATATTCTGCTTAATTAGATTAAGGAGGATAATATATCCTCCATATTAGGTTAAACCAATAGTGAGAATATCAGGATAAACTTAACTCCTATTATATGATATCAATAGGGCTATTATGGTCCCCATAAAATAAATAGGTTCTTTAATCACTATATAAGGAGGGACACGATAATTGATCCTATATAAGTTTGAAGATATCCTTCAATAATATTTAGGATAAAACACTAAAATATCCTCACTACATATTCATATATTCACTAAGTAATACTCTAAAAGGATCCATAATTTTATACCTTTG